GCTAGCAAAGACAGTTTTTGATGAAAGTCTACAGTCGCCTGTTGGAAATGATTGTCATAACGTCAGCGCCAAGTCTCTGAATCGTACAGAAGCACTAACCAACTGGACAGTGATACTGAAAATTTTTTCTGCAGTAGATTTTCAGACCGATTTCAGAGTAATGAAGGTTTGTCTTTGTTTTCGATCTTGCTTCTGACACCCTCATCAGCCGGCTCATCATTATACTATAGATTTTCAGCAGTTAAAGGAGGCTTTTAAAATCTCCTGTCTCTTACCTATGCAGTCAAACTATTTAATGTCCAAACTTATGTGCGGGGCTCATTTGTGGTTATTTTTGCGTTTGAAATTTTCTTTTACGTTTTAAGACATCAAAATCAATTTTGAAATCGGTTATTCAGAATCCTGATGCCTAGTGATTAGGATATTGTGAGATCACAAATAAATAAACGAGTACCGTTTGGTGCTAAACTTAGAGTGATAATAACGTTAGCTGTAAAGTTCTTAGGGTTAATCAGTGTTTTATAAAGAATATAATTTGATCGATAAGCTAAATCAAAAAAGGATTGGAAAGAAAGGATTGTAATGAAATATATCCAACTACTTTGTCATATTGCATCCTGGTCTCTTGTCGCAAGAACCAGGGATAGGTGTGTTCGGTTCTCCTGAAAACCGAAGAATAAACGCCCTGGCAACTACTTTGGTTTGAATTCAGGAAATCAATTAATAGATTCTTTGGTATAGAATACCAAAGTCGTAGAACGTGTTGACCGCTTCACTTATTTTTGGAAGATTTAAAAAATATTTTTTATCACAGTATGATTCCAAACAGAATTTTTGGTACAACTATGGAATTTTCATCATGTGATATCGGTAGCCTAAATTTAGTAAGCCGGCCATTGATTTCAGGTGTGCGTTGGCCGGGGATCGAACCCCAGACCATAAGCATGTTCGGCGAGCGTCCTAATCGCTGTGCCACCGATGATTGTTGGCAAAATCTTAGCATGGATATAAGAGCCTCGTGTGGCATTTACCAACTTCTGCCATCTCTGGCTATCGACCAAAGGACGTGAGACCTGCTCAACAGTTCTCTGCGTCCTCCTTTATGACTGGCTGTGAGACATGGTCATTGAAAGTGGAAGATATGAAAAGTCTAGTTGTCTTCGATCGTGGGTGCCTGCGTCCTATCTCCCATATTAGGTGGTAAAATAGAGTGAGTAATATTGAGGTTAGGCATCAGTCAAGTGCTAGGTGAGGAGGGGAAATCAGTCGACGAGTTTGTGAAGCTAAAACGATTGAGACGTTCGGGACACGTGCTATTCATGCATCCCTAGCCATCGGTCGCCTTCCTGCATGCACAATGTTAGCTGACTGACAAAGGATTAGGTTGGAAAAGAGAAAGCTATTGGTGGTCAAACCAAAACGTGGCTTCATCAGTCAGTGAAATCCATGACAGTTAGTTTAAGCCAGCCAGCCAGCCACGTAGGGAGGTGTAGACTGGCTGTCTGACTGTTTGGTGTCCTCAGGATGGTAAGAACCAATGAAGGCTGGAGACATTTGGTGATGTGGCTCAAAACAGTTGTCAATGATGGTGTAGAGGCATCCACTCCTTGCGACTTATAATACCCAATAAAACTATATTGTTCTTCCATGTTACTACTATTATTCTTCCTGCATACTTCTGTTTATTATCTATCTTCCTCTTGAAACTCTCCTCTCTCCTCGTGCTTTGTGTGCTACCTGGAGGGAGTGTGGCAACTCGAACTGCTGCCCATCTGTGCAAAGTTCTATGTTAACACCAGTCAGTCACATGATATCAGCTTGTGAACAAGCCTATACCTAACCTTTCCTTTGGAAATTCAGAATATTATAAAACCAAAGTCACTTAGTTGGTTTAGTCAGCTTAGTTGATAACAAAATTCCATTGATCCACTTCGAAATTTATGAACTAAGGTAATTAACTAGTGGCACTATGACATATTTGTAAGATTAACCATAATGATTGGTTGGAAATCATCTTCATCAAGCACTAAGATTTTTCAACTAGATGGAAGCGATGTAAATATGGGACAGCAGTTTCATTCCTGTGAGACCAAATGCATCAGACGTTTAACCGATTTGACTCAGAACAGAGAGACAAATCAGTTAATAATACCACCTGAATTCTAAGCGAGCTACGTCGGTCGAATGGATGAAACAGAAGAAAACTAAGATGGATTTTCACCTCACACTGTGTAACCTGTAAGTTGCGAACCTGATTCCGTCTGAGGTAGACTTAAATCCGAAAATAACTATTGATGTAATGGGTGCTGAAAAAGTGTTGAAATGAAAATCTCAGCCTCTACAGTTTTTAAACTATGTGTGCATTTCGCTTACAGCCAATATTCATCGTGTAACTGTAAAACTTGAAAACGGAAGGAATATATTTTCAAGTTAAGATAATTTTATTCATCATCCAAATGATGTATTGCAGGAAATGATTCCTAGGAGAATAAGTGATCTGAAAAATCCCTTCATGAACCACTTAGTCACAGTAGTGATGTTTATTTAAATATCGTAACTAACTCTGTAATTGCAGGTTTGATTACGAGCTGGAATCAGTTAGAGGACCTTCGTGAAGCCAGGGAAAGCGACACAGCTGTTTCGTACCAGTCTAAGGCTCTTCATTGACACGCATGCACTGGGAGGCAAATCCAACACCTACTGGTTATAGAGTGAGCTGGTGGACCATTCAGTCACTAAGACGTAATCCAATGGCCCATGGATTCCAACTTGTGCTAATCCGCGATATATATATATATATATATATATATATATATAGCGCAACTGCCAGCAAATATCATAGGCGAGTGACTGACTTGGTGGACCTCACTGGTTCCAACGTCTCACTGGAACTCCAGATAACCTCGTTTACAGAGCTAGTCTCCAGTACTATATATATTGCGAATTGGAGGAAGTTAGAATTTATGAACTTGGTCGTAGTGGCTGAATGGTCTATTGTAGCCGGAAAGTACTGTGTTCGAGCCCGGGTAATTGCGTACTTCTGGCAATTTTCGAACTAGAATAAGAAAGTTGTCCTGGACTTCCTGGTTCTTTAACTGATATCAGCCTGTGATCAAGCCGAACAGCGATCAAATCCCGGCAAACCATCGCTTGTCAATGGGAACATCTGATTAGCACAGTCAAGAACCAGTCCATTACCAATTCAAAACATTTACACGTTGATTCATGCTATTAATGTTCAAAATGTAACAGTGATCATCCATTTGGAAAAGAAAAGGACAAGTTTTGAATGAACCACTTCTACTGTCATGTTAACAACTCCATTGATTTGACTTAACGTTTGCTTGTATGCTTTAAACTCTTGCGTAATTCCGTATGTTATTTTGTCTCTGTGTACATCATGAGAACAACTCTTTCATCAAACTATTCATGTCATTATGGAACTCTTCTTTAACAATCGTTTGTGACAACTCATCACTTTTGTGACTACCCACTTATATCAACATCCAATTCCTCTGAACTTACTAATTCTATTTTCGTTTGAAAAATTTAATGTACACACACATACAAAACAACCATCTATATTTGCCAGTGTACAGCTATGAAAATGGATTCGCCGCCGAAAAGACTCTTCGTTGAACTACTTGTCTTCTGTCTATTACTGTACGAATGGGAATTTTTCATGAAAGAAACCATTAACTCTTTTGTCTCCTGTAATTTATTTGTCACACCAATTAATTACAACAGATTCTCAAAAATTTGAGTGAATCAGCAATATATATACTGCCGAAGTGCATACAGGTGTAAGATGAGACTGGTTGTCTCTTATCACCGATGATATTCTTAATTAAGGTGGACTAGATTATGCGTCAGACTGTTGGGGGCGAGGAGTCAGAAATACGCTGGACGACCGATAAGAGGACTCCAGAAGATCTGGATTTCGCGCATGGATGATATATGTCTAATGTCATACAAACTAGAAGACTTGCAAGCGAAAACCAACGAACTGGTGGAAGAGGCTAGCAGCGAAGACAGAACTGCAGGTGAACTTAGAAAATACACAGGTGATTAAGATAACCAACCAACCAACAGCAGCAACAACAACCAGCGCCAATCACCATCAACAGGAGAGATTCGACAGAGGTTACCTCCTTCACTTATCTAGGAAACATCGTTTTAACTACAGGCAGTCGGAACGGACGAAGATGTCAACACCAGTTAGAGTCAGAAAGGCAAGATACGTCTTTACCAAACTGAAACCAGTTTGGAAATCTTCCTCAGTCACTCAGTATAAGGAACGAAATTCGCATTTTCAACACCAATGTCAAGTCGGTTCTTCTATACCGGTCAGAAACTTGGCCAGCGTGTAACGAAAAGGATTTTCAAAAGCCTGTTGCAGATTTTTATCAGCAGCTGCCTTCACTTGCTCCATACTGAAGATCAAATGACAATCTAGAAATAATAATCAACAAGAAACTATGGGAACAAACCAACCAAGAGCCGATTGGTCAACAAATATGTAGGCAAAAGTGGAGGTGGATCGGACATCCATTGAGGAGGCCACCAAATGACATCGCACGCCAGGCCACTGCTCAAGTGGAATCCAAAATAGAAGCAACGAGTGGCCCGTCGCTGCGACAATGACATGGAGGAGATCGTGTGGCGAGGAGAAGAAGAAAGATTGTGGGCAATCGTGATTCAAGCTGAAGAGGACGGCAAAAGATAGGACAAAGTGTAGATGTGTTGTTGAAGCCCTACGTTCCATTTGGAAATAGCAATATATTACAAACTTAATATGTTACTGTCCAGAGTAAAAATCTACGCATCAAATACATTTTTGCATGTACCGACGATTCCTTTTTTCCTAAGGTAGAGTAAACATTTACTCCAGAGGGATCACTGAATTAACCAATCAAATAATTTTCCCTATGATAAAATTATTTTTTTCACACAATAACCAATAAAATACTCATCTCCAGTGGAAATAAAAAAAAGTATATAAGCTATTAAAATAATCCTAATTTACAATAAGAAGAATTACAAGTGATATTTTATTCCTCCTTGAAGCATTTACTGTCTGTCTAGGTGAGTCCTTTCACTTTGCAATTTTGTAAAAAATATCCCATTTCACAAGTGAAATTAAAAATAATCTCAATAATTTAATTCCTTTTTAATTGGTAATCATCAATAATCTTAAGTTTATGCTACAGATTTATTTATGCGCTCTAGAGTTCCTGTCGCCGTGGTTTATTTTTATGGTTTAAGGTAGCTATAACACCCTCACCCCACCCAACACCCTACCTTCCCTCTTTCCGTACCCGGCCAGTTAGCTAGACGCCACAGTTAAACATAAACTTAAACTGAGAAGCTTTATTTTCATTACTGTTTAGAATTATTTTAGATTTCAATATAGAAATAAAATCCCTATTTAGACATTCAGAAAGCAGAAGGATTGGGCAAAGAAATATTTGCTTTTCAATTAGATCCTCTTTTTTGGTGTGGTTGTGTTCTCTGAGCTGGATGGTTTGGTTGCGAAGCTTTCATTGCTCTACTGAGCAACATCTTCAGCGCATACTTCACATCGAAGTATGCGCTGAAGATGTTGCTCAGTAGAGCAATGAAAGCTTCGCAACCAAACCATCCAGCTCAGAGAACACAACCACACCAAAATCATCCACCTGAGCTACAAATCTTCTCTATTATATCTTAATTAGATCCTCATATCACTCTGGCTCCACTCTAATATATATCCGTAGCGTTTTTATTACAATACACAACAATTCACGAATCAAGTGGCACTGATATATTTGTTAACAATAATTAGTCAGCATCAACATGTCAATGGGGTGATAATTAACGAAGAAAATTAATGCACACAATTAAAAGGTAGAAATGGTTACAACACATGGATTGCGTAATGCATAATTTTGGAAAAATGAAGAGTAATTAAGGAATAAGCGTGTGCACAGGTTGATTACGTAACAGATTGTTAGAGAAAATAAAACGATTTGGACAATGACAACTTGTAACTAAGGTTGAAGTGGGTATAAGAATAAAATAAAAAAATAATTTGGACAATTATAATTTTTAAAGGTTTAGGGGGAGGGGGGTGAAGTAGTCCGGTTTGTACATTCATGTAACGATGGCCAAAATAAAGCAAGTGGCTGTACAAATTTCTTCTGAACACACAGGTTTGGCTTCTTCAGGTGGATTCCTACGGCTTCAGCTGTATGTAGAAAATGAACTCGTAAAGCGAAATTAAGACAAGTAGGAATGCGATAAATAATTTTGAATGTTGTATTAACGTCAACCTTATGCTCACTTTCTACAAGGTGTATTAAAATAGAGCTACGAATAGATCTTGTTTTTCCCTTGCTTAACCATTCTGGATGATGTTAGGAAGTACGATGATGAACCTGCCTAAATGTACGCCCGATGTAGCTGGCTGCTCAGCTGCAGTCAAACTGGTAGATACACAAAGGGGAGGCAAATTTAGGTAGTTTATCCTTATTTCTCGAACCTAGGATAGGGGTAACAATGAAGAGACAACGTACTTCTGCTGTATAATAAGATTTAGATTGATTCTGAACAAAGTCGAACTGAATTTATTCACAGAAAGAGAAAGTGTGCTTTCGTTTTCTATTTCATGGGTTTTCTTCAGCTGTCAAAAGCCTAAGTTACGTGTTTATATAAATTATGTACAGAATTATCAGCAAAATTTATTGCATAATATTTTCTGTATTCATCCAGGATGTTTAAACGAAATTTAAATTGACAGTAGGTCTCATGACATAATGCCATCTGACCTAAAGTGCAAACCAATCCCGTTAGATGTTTCTTCTTCTTTGTCTCCTTCAAGAAACTCATGATATTTAGTTGAAAGACAATTAAGAAAGTTCAGAAGTGCATTTTTCCATCCATAGACATGACTGAATAATTAAAGACTGTAGGTAGTTAGCTTTATTTCTCTGCCATTTAGCAGTTTATACTGAAAATCTCAGGAACAACTATCTCTAGAAGTGAGATACGCTGTCCACCCACATTTGGGCTTTTTCTCAGGTTTTGTAGGCACTTGTGAATCAGCTGGCTGTAAGCACATTAAATACTCACAAGAGCTAACAATACCAAGAGTGCATCGGTGGCATAGCGGTTAGGACTCTCGTCGATCATACACATGGTCCGGGGTCCGATCCACGGCCGACGCACACCTGATACCAATGGTCGGCTGTAAATTTGTACCGATATCACATGCTGAAAATTCCATACCTGTATCAAAAATACTGTGTGGAGTCAAGCTACAATAAAAAAAACAAAATATTTTAGTAGCATATTTTAATAATATTTTTGCAATGCTTCATTTTCCAGTAAGTGCGGCATGGAAAGACATAAAAATTATCTCGGTAACCTAATCAGGTTCTGGTAATCATGTTACATTTTGACCTATTGCAATTACCTCTCCTTATTGAAATTAATGCAGAAATAACTCCCAATCAAGCTTGTACCCTCTTTAAAAAGTTTTAATGATCCCAAACAGTTTGCTTATAGGCAGGGTCGAAAGAAGTACTTTAGATGATGCCGCTGTATTACATCATAACATTGTCTCCTCCTTAGACAAAGGTGTGAAATATGTTCTATGTACCTTCCTTGAATACACATCCGCTTTTGACTCAGTACCTAGATGCCTTTTGTTAAATAAGCTTTACCTTACACAAACTGAGTCCTAGGCTATTAACCAGTTGCATTTTCATTCCTCTAACAGGGTGTAGTGTATTGTGTTTAGGGACAAATCTTCTGCCTTGCTTGCTGCACTTGGATTCCATCAAAGGGGCTGTTCTCTCATTTTTTTCCTTTTTTGTTTCTTCTAAAATGACTTGACTCTTTCGAATGAAATCAACTTCGTTAAATGGGCTGATGATCTGACTGTCTCACCTCCAGTCACATCCAGATCTGACTCTTCTGGACTCCATGTCTTTTTCTCTGATATCAGCCAATGGTTTAAGCTAAATGGTCTTAACTTTTTTCCTTCACGTTCCGCAGGGCTTCAAGCTAGTGGCTTGAAGTTTCTGTAGCAGTGTTTATTTTACAGGATGGGGTTGCTAGCCTCATGTCCAACATTCCTCCTTCATCAGCATTTTTTCTGGCTTAGCTGGGTAAAAGAGTGCATCGGCCAGGGATCGAACTCCGGACCATGTGAATGGTCGGCGAGCGTCCTAACCGCTATGCCACCGACGCAGCCTTAACTTAAACCCATCTAAATGTCAGATAATTAAATTCACCTTCAGGTATAAACGTGAACTAAAATGATTGGTTCATTTACATGGCTCTTGTAGCATAGAGGGCACTGAAACTAAGTCAAACTTAAAATACCTTGAAACGGTTCTGTCCTCTCCCACCTTTCTTGGTCATCTCATATCTTGTCGATTTCTAAGAAAATGTGCCATCTAAGCTTCAACGTTAAGAAGTTAAGACAATCAAGTAAGTATCAATCAAATTCTGCTTTTACAATTTGTTAACTCTTCCATCTTACCTGTTGTACTTTACTGCTCCTTACACCTTAGTATTTTCTGGGCTACTGCTACGTTCTAAGCAGGCAGTCAGTAAATATTTATAAACATACATAGTACTTCAAAAGTCTGTCAATTCAAAAAGGCACTTAATAACACTCAGCGGAGGAATGGAAAAGCCGATATTAATCGAACATTCAGGGCTTATATAAACAAAATATATAATGGAATGTTGAAGATTCAAGAAGAGATGGTGTGAGTTAGTGAGCAAGTAAATGAAAGCAGTGAGTGATAAATAAGACTAAAGTTACTGTGTAAATAAATACTTGAATAAATTAGATTGCTTAATGATGATTTCAGCTTATTGAATGAAAATCAAAATAAGGTGAAGATTGTGACGCAAAAAAAACCAAACCAAAACAAAACAAAACAAAAATGGATCTAGTTACCATAGTGATGTGAGATTAATCATATTGGCACTCTCCCCTCTTGAGGTTTTTATTAGTATTATGTATGCATAAGTCCTAGTTGTTCGGTTATTTTATTACTGACCGTCTTATAGTTAGTGACAATGTTTTCTTCATTCTTGTGACAAGATTTCTTACTTGAACCGTTTCGGTTGAAATACTTTCTCGAAGATATTGTATAATTTCATCTATAATAACTTGTGTTATTTTAAGGCTTTTAGAAGCTGAAAAATGTCTTCGTTCTCTCTTTTTTATAGCTTTGTAGAGGCTTGAAGTCTTGAATTCTCGCCTGCGTTCTATCTCTCGTGTGAAATGGAATAATAGGGTGAGCAATATTGAAGTTAGGCCGAGGTCGAGTGTTAGGTAAGGAGCGATGAGAAATCAATAGACGAGGTTGTGAAGTTACATCGATTAGGATGGTTAGGACATATGTTACATCTGCCTAGCCATCACCTTCCTTGACAATGGACAATGTTAGCTGAATGATATGAAATCGATAAGGTTGGGAAAGAGCTAGCTAGTGGTGGTCAAACCGAAACATGGCTTCATCTGCCAATAGAATCCGCAACAGTTGGTTTAAACCAGTCACATAGGGAGATGTAGGCTTCCTGGTTGGGGTCCTCGCGATGGTAAACACTAATGTCTGGAGACAATTGGTGATATGGCTCAAAATCCTCGTTCTCAATGTCTGGCGCAGATGCATCCACTCCTTGTGACTTATAATATCCAATGTAACTATATTGTTCTTCGATATTACTATTCTTTTTGCCTTGTATCTCTGTTTACTGTCTCTGTTTCACATTTTTTTTACTTTCTTCTCTTGCTTTGTGCGCTACATGGAGTGTGGAGATAAGAACAGCTGCACAGCGGTGTAAAGTTCTATGTTGAAACCAGTCAGTCAGTCTTGAATTTTCGATGGTTGTGGGTTGTATTCCTCTGACAGGGTAGGGCTGCTAGCCAAAAGCTTCAAATCTCGCCTCTTTTCCAAGCTCAATATTCGCTGATAAACTGAAAGAGCCGAGGTTTAGAAGTGCGTTGGCAGGAAACAGAAACTGAACGATGTGCATGGTTGGCGACCATTCTACCGCTAAAATACCGACTCATTATCTTTGTT